TGAGGCTGAGGCACTCGAGAACCTTTATCCCCATCGGACGTCGGTTCTTCGAGCGCATTGCCATTTTAGCTTACTAATCTGTATACCTAGTATATTATAAATGAATACATGGTCGATAATTACGTCAGGGAATAATGAGCCAGGGAATGATAAAGAATCTATGCTGTTTTTTACGATGTAACGATTTCTAAGATTTTTGTAAGTAATCTTTATATATAAAAATTACGTGTCACGTTGTTTGTCCGCGATGAACTCCTAAACTACTAAACTGATTTCAACGAAATTTTACACACTGTGTAAAACTTCAAACTTGTCCTAATTTCCTCATGATATGCCAATAGAAAAGTATACAATTATTCAACAAAACCACTATACATTTCATTTATTAAAAACTATTATATATTTATACTATTTAACTTTTTAAAGTACAATCTGTGTTTTTATTTTACAATATACTTTGAAAGAGAAGTCCTGCCGGGTTTCTTGCTGATTCTTTCGATGACAGAGGTTTTTTCCGAAACAGTGGTAAAAGTATAAAAGTATATTTAATCTATATTAAATAATAACGATGTCATTTTTACTATTAAGAACGTCAGTTGTCTTCATCAAGAACCCAAGTTTTCTTCGAAGGCCGGCAACGCATCTGCAATTCCCCTAATGTTGCAGTTGTTCATTGGCGGCGGTCAACACTTACCATTAAGTGAGCCGCATGATCTTTTATCCCTTTGCCCCCTCTTCTATAAAAAAAGCTATTAGCTTCCAATGATAACTGCACAAGTTGTGGCCAAAACGAGCGAAAGATTTAATTGCATCTCACCGATATACACAAGTAGAAGTTGACTGAGCTGGTCCCGCGTTAAGTCGCCTTTCGGCAGCAACCAGCGGCCCACTATGAGCGTCAGCATGAGGAACTGTTCTATAAGCGTCACCCACGTGTCTGTTTGTAGCTTGTTCGCGCCTGGCAGCGGAATATCCGTCTAGAAATAAAATTTTAATCAATAGAATGTTTTAATAACTTCTTATAAAACTTAGTTCATGTATTAAGTGATAGGTATATTATTTGACTGCATCCTTGGTCTAGTGGTCGTAAGCACGATTTGTGATAATGAGGGGTTCAATTCCCAGGTCGGGCCAAAAATCAGTTATGGAATGTTTCTGTCAAAATAACTAGCATAGCAATATGCAAATAAGCAAAATAACTAAAATAGCAGTAGCATCCCGGAATCAGGATGTTGACGGTGTATTCCTTCCCGTACCTCGGAAAGAAAATAAAGCTGTTTATCCTGGTCATAATCTTCCTCCGGATAATGTCAGTTTGCTGTACCATTGGACTATGAAAGTGAGGGAATAGAAAATTAATAATAATAATAACCGACCGCGACTTCCCCGCATAGCCCTAAGCAGGCGGAATCGGGCTATCGTGAGGGCTCTGAACCCAATGCTGGTGACCTATTTTGGAAGCCAGCCGGGAACTTTGCGAGACGGACTCAATTCTCTTTGGCGCCGCACTGGCAGTCTTCCGTATTATAGGCGCCAAACTTTCCATGGCTGGACGCACTACTGGACAAAGTAGTGCTATCCCAGCCTGGTGAACAAGAATTGAAGAATGTATCGCAAAGGCTAGGGCCCTCATCGGCAGACTGATATGATTCAGGTCAGGCAATACCAGGCCAAGGATTGTGCGCACCGTCAGGATGGCGTTTGCTGCGACAAATGTTAGTTTGTCCCAGCCGGATATAATGCAAAAACTGACGGAGGGCATAGACGACCTGAAGCAGAGAATCGCTGCTTGGGAAAAGCGGATTCGGCGATATACCGAGGGGGTTGACACGGTTCAACCAGAATCGTCTCTTCCAGAGTGATCAGTAGAGGCTCTATAAACCATTGGAGCGACCAATGATAAGTGGAACGGGCCCAGTACCGAATCAGGCCGACACGGTCGCATTCTGGCGCAGCCTGTGGTCAGAGCCCGAACCACAACGAGGGGCTCTTGGACGGAAGTTGTGGCGAGTCAGTGTGTTTGTATTACGCCCATGGACCCCGTCATCATAACGCAGGATGACGTAGCTGAGACGGTCCGTAGAGCCCCCGAACGGGAAAAGTCCGGGGCTTGACGGGCTGCATCACTATTGGTTGAAGGGGTTTGTGGTGTGTCACACTGTGCTCGCTGATAGTTTCAAGAGGCTCTCAACCAGAAGTCACTTCCGAGCCTCTTCACTACTGGGATCACTCATTTGGTTCCTAAAGATCAGGGTGCCACAGACCCGAGCAAATATTGCCCCATCACGTGTTTACCGACCATATACAAGATGGCTGGGTTATGCCTGTCCTCATGTATACCTTTGGCATACTCAGGTGGAGTCAGACTGAACTTAACGCCCTGGATAGAAAAGTCCGCACTACAATGACGTCCCGTAGGATGCATCATCCGAGATCGTCGGTAATGAGGATGTACTTGCCGCAAGCATGGTGGGCGTGGCTTCTTGAGTGCGCTCACCATGCATAATCGCGAGTTTGCAGCCTCCGTCATTACTTCCTGGCGAGATCGGATGATCTATTCTATAATGACGTCATTTCTAGTGATAAAGGACTTACCCCTCTATCCTTAGTCAACGAGCAATGGCAGGACCCGGCAGTACAGAGCATTTCCGACCGGGAGACCGTGTGGAAGGAGAAGGAGCTCCACGGGAGGTACTAAAGGGCCATGAGCCCAACGTAGATACAGCCGTCTCCCTCAACTGGCTACGTTTCGGTGACCTCTTCGGGGGAAACCGAGGGTTTTGTCTGTGCGTTCGATCCCATTACATTATCAACAGGCTCTTTTAAGTAATTTTTCTTTTTAAGGTAAGGGTGACAAACGAGCACACAGTCAACCTAATGGTAAATGGTTGCTGTGACCCATAGACATGTACATCTATCCTCGATTACGAATCAAAATGTAGATCCGTTGTAACCCGTGAGGAGGAAGATGGAATGCCTCGTTTCCAGTAAAATGGGTTTCCGGTTCTCTACACTCATCATTCGAAATACAGCAGCGTTGAGGTGCTATTTTACGCTAGTATTCTGTGAGAGCGTGGTCCTTCCCCAGTCGAACCGACCCATTCGTGCTACAAGTATACTACTAATATAACTCCAGCATATCTCTACCACGATAAAAAGTAATATTTACATAAGACTTACTTCGATGTAAGTGAGGTTGGCTTTTTTCTGCAGTCGAAGGTCTACCTTGTGCAGCTCGATCAGCCATATCGCGGGCACCACCAGACCCAAATAGATGAAAACCGATGGACAGAACCTGTGACAATTATGTTAATAAGTCAAACAATATTCTATACGTACATTATATTTATACAGACAGACGTTCTGAAAGATAAACATATGTCTATAACTTATAACTTGCCTTAGCGCTTTTCTGTTCTTTTTTATAAAATAATGGTAACAAACGAGCACACAGTCCACAACAATCCAAAACATCGATTAACAATCAAAACCCAAACGCGTTCACACCCTTGAGGACTAAGATAGAATGCCTCGCTTCCAGTAAAACGGGTCTCCCGATCCCTACATTCACCATACGAAACACGGCAGCATTGAGCCGCTATTTTACGCTGGTATTCTGTGAGAACGTGGTCCTTCCCCGGACGAGCCGACCCATTCATGCTACAATCATAATATAGCTCCAGCATGGCTCTAACAGGTATATTGTGTTCGCAAAGTTCTTACTAAAATTTTACACAAACAAACTAACTGTTCACCTGGTAAGTGACTACTCCAATTCATGGGCAGCATCCTGCTGCCATGTTCTATCAAAGAAGGCTATAAACACGTTGCCACCTCTGAGGACTAAGATGGAAAACCTGACAGGCTGTCATTATACAGGCCTCTCCCAAAGCGCGACACATTTCTTCTCTATGACACGCCTACTACAACAGTAATCGCTTCTGCGACAAATGTGATCAGCCCAATGTCACTTTAGCCAATAACAAGGAAGGCTATGATAGTAACCTTGGTTTTGTTATTACCCTTAACTCTATATAAATTCAACTAAGTGGCTGGTTTACATATGGCCGTGTAAGTAAAAGATGGAATCTCCCACCTTTGTCTTCCACTATATATACTGCAGTACGTCGGAACTTTAATAGCGCGATTTAGATTTCGGTGCGTTTCACTTGTGACGCGACGTGGTAGAGCCACGCTGTAGCTATAATATGGTTTTAACACGAATATGTTGGCTCACAGAATATCAGCGTTAAATAGTAGCTTAATACTGCTGTGTTTAGTATGGTGAGAGTAGAGAACCGGAGACCCTTATTACTGGAAACGAGGCATTCCATCTAAGTCCTTAAGGGTGAAACCCATCTACATTTTAGTTCTTAATTGAGGATTAATGTAGATGTCTATGGGCCGCAGCATCCACTTAACATCAGGTGGACTGTGTGCTCCTTTGTCATCCTATGCTTTACAAAAAAAACGACAGCGCCGCCACACACTTTATGATTTCTTATACTTATAAGAATACATAATAGACATTGAATAGAACTAATTTTTCAAATTTTATTGCGTTGAACTAAACAAGCCAAACCAATCATACCACTGTAAGACTTCTAGATACTGTAAGCTCGTTCTGCGCAGATCCGACCAATAATTGAACAATAATTAGTATTCAAAAGCTTAAGGTAGTCGGGCTAACTATGACATCGGGACCTCAAATACCTCATACCCCTACCCCCGTCAGTGACCCCTGGATGCTTTAAATCGTCCGTAACGTTGGTAATTAAAGTAAAAATCAACAATATAAACTCCGTGAAATTAGTTTTATACAAAGTGGTCGAACAAAATTAGGGCAAGGACTCATGGGGGAAAAAAACTGTCAAATGATTTTTCTGCTAACTATCACCGGACACCGCCCTTATAAAACCCTTATTAAGCACTAGGTAGGGCATTTGTAAAGCACTGTTGACTTAATACGTCACTCTAATGGCTCATCCGGTTTGACTAACGCGGCAATAAAAGGCTGTGCCTTCGGGATTTCGTTAAAATTTTCCATTAAAGTAATTTATATTAGTGTATTTTTTTAAGTATGAATACCAAGAGCATTAAGCCGCAATTTCACGCTTCTCTTCTCTTCTGTAAATGTGATCCTTCAGACACATTCGTGTTATAATCATAATATAGCAAAAGCGTGACTAATAATCAAATTCACAGTACGCGAGCAAACCAGGTTCGATCCCCGCCGGCACCAATTAAATTATTAATTGCAATTTTAAGTGCTGATTAACCACGTGCTTGGCGGTGAGGAAAATATCGTGAGGAAACCTGCATGTCTGAGAAATAAGAAAAAAATATTTCGAAGACATGTGAAGTTCGCCAACACGCATTAGGGCAGCGCGGCGGACACTTCCTTGCCCTAAAACCCTCTCAGAAATGAGGGGAGGCCTGTGCCCAGCAGTTGGACGTATATAGGATGTAACTTTATTAACTATTAATAATCAAATATTACGTCGTAACGTTTAAAAACAAAAGAAATAAAAGAATTATACGATTTCAAGTGATCACAAACGCAGCTACCGATTATGAGATCCCGAGTTTGAATTCCAGGTCGGGCAGCAATCAGATATTAGTTTGCTGCCTAGAAATTTTAGCACTCCGGAGTCGGAAAGTTGACGGTGTTTCACGCAGCCACTCGGGGGGCATAAAAAGTCATTGGTCCTGTTTTTATAGGATAAGGATGACAAAAGAGTACACAGTCCACCTGATGGTATGTGGTTGCTGTGGCCCATAGACATCTACATCTATCCTCGATTACGAATCAAAATGTAGATGCGTTGTCACCCGTGAGGACTAAGATGGAATGCCTCGTTTCCAGTAAAAGGGTCTCCGGTTTTCTACACTCACCATACGAAACACAGCAGCATTAAGCTACTATTTTACGCTGATATTCTGTGAGAGCGTGGTCCTTCCCCGGTCGAGCTGACCCATTCGTGCTACAACTATACTACTAATATAACTACAGCATGGCTCTACCACGTATTAAAAGTAGTATACAATAGTATGTAAGCACTTATAGTTACATCCGAACAGTGTAACACTTTCCCCTCCATTTCATCTGTTCTTGCGTCTCTTTTAATTTTACTTTAGTGCTCGAATTGATTTTTGAATTGATGATCTTAAATAAATTTTGTCTTTTGGATAACGGGCGACTTAACTTTTTATTGAAAGCCCTATTACGCTTAGAATTCGTACTTGTCAATTTTAATGTAAACACAAAACTTATTGAGATATAATGATTTAAATTATACTATAGATATTTAGTGACACTGTTTTTTTTTTATCAAATGCGTCAGAAAATTTTCATTGAGACCAAAAATGACAACTTTAGGGCCTACCTCAAATGGCTTAGCAAGATCCTCCGTTATGCCGAAAATATTATAGCATTAATTTTGAAATAAATATATGATAAAGTTGAGGATTAATGTTAAGTACTACAAGTTAGACGAATTCCTTGGCTATAAATATGTTCATTATTCATAAGAATAATGAATATATAATAAAATAAATTAAATAATAATTAAACACTTAGATTTCTAAAAAAATTTTTAGTAATAAAAGTTGTCCTTTAGACCCATTAGTGCTATAACCATAATATAGCAGAGGCGTGGCTCTTGATTTAGAGCGCTTTATTACGCTCTAATTAACAAATATACGATTTCAGAAGCAACTTATCCCTAACGGCTACCTCGTTGGTCAAGTGATCGCAAACGCGCGTACCGATCACGAGGTCCCGGGTTAGAATCCGCCAGTAATCAGTTGTCGAGTTTTTCTGTCAAGAAATTCTCAGTAGAGCAGCCCGGAGTCAGGAAGTTTGGCGGTGTTTCACTCCGGCTCTGGAAGCGCGAAAACCCGTTGTTCCTGTACTTGATCTCTATTCTCTCGAGTCTGATTGGCGGTCCATCGGACTATAAGAGAGATATGAGAATAAAGGAATGACATGTCTCCGTTGAGGCTGGCCGTTGTGATACATTATTATTACAATCGTATATAATATTCCCGTTTGGTTCGGAGGGTTGAAATACGTTTATTTTTTTAAATAATATTAACAGTGCTATAAACATTACTACATAATATTCCCCTTAACCACTCGTGGTAAGCTTAAATTGCTTGTGTTACGAGTGGTTCACGCCAGTAGTCGAATGGCGGATTCGAACCCACGACCTTTTTGAGTTCTCGCTTCGCGCCCTGTCATTAGGCTGCTGTCGTGTCGTAATTGTGTGTATTAACAATGCTATAAACATTACTAATATTCCCCTTAACCACTCGTGGTAAGCTTAAATTGCTTGTGTTACGAGTGGTTCATGCCAGTAGTCGAATGGCGGATTCGAACCCACGACCTTTTTGAGTTCGCGGTCCGCTCCTTGCCATTAGGCTACTGTAGCTTCGTAGCTATATTTATATATAAATAGATAAAACATGATAAAACTAAATAAAATACAGTAAAAATTATTCTAAATATTATAGTAGAGACCAAATGAGGGTTAGGAGAAAAAGAAAAGATACTGGTGGACGATGGAGACTTATTCGAGCCACTTTCTGTATTTGAGCCCGAATTGGTCTTCACGGAGATGATCGGACAAACTGACCAGGATTAACTCTTTCGTAGAAACGACTGCAGGAATAATTTTGCTCAGCAGACCTTACATACCTATCGGTTACCTCGTGTGTCAGAAATGCAGATATTTTGTACTGTTATCTGTATCGGCTTTAACGATGTTCTCATATGAAATGGTGACGTCGTCCAAAAATATCCTTGACTGTGCCCGACCCATCCACATAATATCAGATTTATTCAAGAATAATCCTGTTTATGATGATGACACGGTCACAGTCGAGACTCGCGCGATCATTTTCGAGCACGGCTTAGGGCAAGTAAAAGTAAAGTAAAGTAAAGTTACAGCCTATATACGTCCCACTGCTGGGCTCAGGCCCAGGGGCAAGGAAGTGTCCGCCGCGCTGCCCCAATGCGTGTTGATGAACTTCACATGTCTTCGAAGTATTTTTTTCTTATTCCTCAGACATGCAGGTTTCCTCACGATGTTTTCCTTCACCGCCGAGCACGTAGTAAATCAGCACTTAAAATTGCAATTAACAATTTCGTTGGTGCCGGCGGGGCGGGTGCCGGTTAGGGCAAGTACATACTTATATTACCCGATGTAGAATTCTGGCTACTAGGTAGGTATATTGTGTTTGTGCAAATATTCAGATATAAAGAGCCAATTAACCGAAGAACATTCCCAAGCG